AGGGTCTTCCATGCCCTCTACATGCCTTTGTCTAAGGCTCTTCAAATCCTTGCTGAAAAGGAGCATCTCAAACCCCTCGAGCCTCGGCCTCTCCCTAGTCGTCTTCTACCTAGTCATGACGCTACCCAGTACTATGCATACCATCAGCAAACTGGTCATACCACTGACAATTGCTTCCGTCTTCGCCACGAAGTACAGGATTTGTTTGATAACAGGGTTGTCCTCCTACCTAGCTCAACAAAGTCTATTGTCACTGGATCAGTGAACTTTGAGGATAATAAAAGTATGTGATCAGGGGATGAACCACTTGTGGGCGGCGCTCGGTTTACTTCAGATAGGGCATATGGCATGCATTGTTTTGAGCATTTGCAAATGCCAGTTTTTGTAGTTTCTGACTTGGATGTTGAGTCAGTTTCGTGGTTTTGTTTTGAGTCTGTCTCATTGTTTTGAGTCAGTCTTTTTGATTAAAGGTTTGTCTTGTTGTATCGAGTCAGTCCTGTTGTCATGCATGCTTGTATGCTTGTTTTATGCCTTTGTTGCATCATTTTGGCCACTGTTTTGGTACGGCTGAGGTCTATCCATCTTTAGTGTAAGTCCATGGATCACGCGTTTGTGTATTGTCATATGCTTATCGCGTTGCATGTTGTTGCATACTTGTGGTGGGTGTCATTGTTACATGCCTATCACTTTGCGTACTTGTTTAACTAGTTTGCATTGTAGTATTGCATACTTATGGCATCACCATGTTGTTCAATATCGCATGCTTGTCCACATTTGCATGCCATGCATGTTTGTATATCTAGGTTGCATCTTGCATGTTCGTTAGTTTGCGTCTTGTTACATGTTAATTTAGGTTGCATTACATTTGGCATGTTCGCTACCTTAAGCTTTGTGTGCATACATGAGTCACATTGTGTTTGACATGCATGCATTGCATTGTGTTTGGTTTGGGGTGTCAAACCAAGCATGAGGAATTTGGGGGCGTTCGTACTCAAAGTGACGTAACGCGCCTCAATCCTCAGTCACCGATGTCCTTGATCTCAACATGATAGGGCGTGTAGCACTCATGTGTTTTGTTGCATTCATTCACATTGAAATGCATACTTGACTTCTTGGCCCATCACGCATTGAAATGCGCGATTGGTGGTCCGAGGGTCGAGTACCAAACTCCCTTGAGCCCATAGCATGATAGGGAGAGTGGCTATGCATACATTGCTTTGAA